CTCCCCAAAACCCCAAAACCCCAAAACCCCAAAACCCCTGTCCATCATTATTGAAATTATAGGGTGAATTATAAGTTTTTATATAATTATTAAACTTGGAAAATATGTTCACATCAGTCATCTAGAGAAGACTTGTTAAGTAATTATTGGCTAAAAACCCAGCTTCCTTCGTTCAAGCCTCTAGAAATTTCTCAGCTCTACTCGTTCCAATTACTCCCCACCTTTCATTGCCTGCTGATGTATTCAACTCGCCATTGACTGAGCAGCACTACGCTTAATTATAGAAAGAATTCGAGCAATTCAACCTATAATGTGCAGAGGAATTGAAGGAGATGAATCAAAACAGAATCACCAACATCATCGAGAGAGGTGGAGTTGAAGGATGGGATACCGTAAGTCAATCATATTATTTTATACTAATCAATCCTATAGGCTGAGGATCTAGCTTATCTTAGAAAGTCATTTGAATTCCATACCTTTGAACAAGCTCAAGCCTTTGTACAAAGAGTTGGCAGATTCGCTAATTAAAAAGATCACCACCCAGAATGGTCCACTTCACAAGGAGGTAGAGTTGTGACTGCCAACCTCACTAGTCACTTCGCTGGAAACAAGGTTACTCTATTCGATTTCCAACTTGCAGAATAAATGAATAAGGATTACAAGATAACACACAGAATGTTCAGATAATACCCTCTACTCTCCTCAAGGTAATGGTCAACAATATAAATTGGTTTCACTACATACGTTATCCTTGGCTTCGTGTTGTTTATTGGCATGACTATGTATATCCCAGCCATCAATGAAAGGAGTGAGGAAAACCAAGTTAACCATCACACTCTTGTGCTTGGTTAATTCGATATGAGCGAAGCACTTAAGCTTAAAAATGATGAGGAACTTGCAGCTTTTGTTGAAAAGAATACAGATGATTTCACTCTCAAGAACGCAACGTTCAAGCCATTAGGTTACTTCTGAGCAGTGTGATAATCATGGGAATCATTAATCCCTCTGCTAAATAATGAATTAGAGAAATGCTTACCTAGAATATCAATAATAATTTATGAATTTATTGATATTTTGCGTGTGTTATCTGATTTATATGAGCATAGCTCAGTTATTTAATTTAAACATAAATTTTTTCATAAAGCTAATAATTCCTCAGCTATACTATCTTATTCATAAAGATTTCTAACATTTCCCTGATAACTCTTCAATTTTATCAATAATTTGTTTGTTTTATAATATTCTTACTAAATGAACTTATTAATAAGTTAAAGTTAATCAAATTGATAATAAAGTATAATAGGAGTTCAAAATTTAATTACAATATTTTAATAATCTAATCTAAAACTTAAACTAATTTAATGTAAGGACTTCTGAGTACTCCAAACACATAAAATGGCGTTCTTGATATTGTTGGCTCGACCGATATCATCAAGAAATACTACGATCCCATTCATGGCTACATCGAACTTGATCAGAAATAGTAATCCTATATAAGTTGTTACAAAACATTTTAGTTGGGACATAATTGACACAGAGCAATTTTAGAGATTGCGCTATTTGAAGCAACTTGGGTGTGTGAATCTGGTTTTCCCCACAGCTACTCATAATAGATTTGAGCACTGCATAGGTGAGTACAATTGAGTTTGCTAAAGGTTTTAATCATACGTGTATAGGCACATGCTACGTGGCTAAGAAGTTGATGAACAAGATTAAAAAGAAGTAGCCAGAGCTTGATATTACAGATGAGGATGTATACAATGTCTCAATTGCCGGACTATGCCATGATCTTGGCCACGGACCATATTCCCATGTATTTGACAACCATTTCCTTAGAACTATCAAGTAAGATTTAATACACTGATAGAATGAAACTAAACTCAATCATTTGTATAGTCCTTAGACAGAGTGGACTCATGAATATGCATCCTCGATGTTACTTGAACATTTGGTAGATTAGAATAACTTGGATCTTACAAAGGAAGATGTTAGATTGATTTGTGATCTTATTGAGGGAAAGAAACAAGGTTATGAGGGTAATGAGAGTAAGAGATATTTGTAAATAAATAAACCTGTTATTAGAGGGATGGATGTTTGACATTATTAACAACAAGAGAAACTCAATTGATGTAGACAAGTTTGATTATATAACCAGGGATACCTACATGATGAATCTTTCGTACGGATCTTTCGATCATCAAATCTTATTAAAAGATGCGCGCGTTATTGAAAATTAAATCGCATATCCCACAAAGCATGCTTATGAAGTGTAGAAACTATTCCAGTCCAGGTATGACCTATACAAATCAATCTATAATCATCTCACTGTGCACTCTATTGAGATCATATTGTGTGATGTACTAAAGGCCGCGCATAAGGTGCTGTTTGATTTCGAGGAAGTCATTTATAACCCCTAGGAATATACTTATCTCACTGATAATATCTTGTATGAAATCCAAGTATCTGAGGATGAAAGAATGAAAAAAGCTTAAGAGCTTATCAAGAGACTGCAGAGACGTGACTTTTACTAGTTCGTTGGTGAGATCATTATGAAGCACTCCGAGTATCCCTGCACTGAGAAAGACCTCGTTAACTTTGCAGCACAAGATGGCTATGGTGATATTATTACTGAGGATGATGTCGCTGTTAGAAAGTATAGTGTAAATTTCGCTTAAGGAGACAAAGATCCCTTTGATTTCGTCAAGTTCTACAACTACCCTAACTTTAATGGTAAGCCTATTTTATCACTAATGAGTATATAGAATGCTTCCTAGTAAACAGAAGAGAAGTGAGCATAATCACTCCAAATATATTCTAAGAACACATAATCAGAGTGTTTGTGAAGGACCCAGCTAAATTTGAAATTGTAGACAAAGCTTTTTCAAGATTCTGCAGTGAGAAACTAGGCTCAATCCCCAAGAAAGGCAAAGAGTTCTCCAAGAAATATACCCAGGATAGCCAATATATCATTTGAGAACTCTGCTCAAGATGATGAACTTGCTGAACAAATACCTGCTTTGGATAGTTATAGTTAAATGTATCAATCAAATTAGTTAACTTAATCAAACATTAAACAAAATACATTTTATCTATTAATTTTTTAATGTCCTATTTGAAAATTAATTATACATATTCACAAGTTGATTAATTGCTTTATTCTGTTTCTTAAGCAGCAATTTCATCTCTTTTTAAAACCATATTTCTTTCTTTCATACCATAGATCAGTTTTGGCGCTACCCAGATTCACAATCTTGGGACATCCATCTCTATCCTTTTCCATCTACGTACATTCCTTGCAGTAATAAGCATCGCTGATCCCTGGTCCTCCACATATGGTACACCTTCCCTAGAAGCTTCCAAAGTTACACTCATCACAAATCTTAACTAATGAGCATGGCCTTACATATGAATCGCAAATGACACACTTTCCATCGCACTTTTCACAGAGACGACCAATAGCCACCCCTGGCTATTTACGACAGAATATCAAATCTGGGTGATGTTTTGCCATTGAATTTAATTATTAAAAATTATTGTTATATACTTGAGATTGCTTATTATAGTGTTATCAATTAAAGTTATTAGATAATTAGCAATGTCTGCAAATAAGTCATCAGTAAGAAGCAAAATTAACAAGTTCTTCGAGTAAGGGGTTTCCTCAAGTAAAAAGGGCACAAAGGTTTCAAGAGACATTGAGGACCCTGAGGATTTATACAGTCATACAAAGTAATTCTTCAAAAAAAATCAAGTTGAGGAGGAGTATGTAGACTAGGTAGAGATAGGCGAGAGAAAGATAAAAGGAGAGATTGGATTAAATGATCTTGATTAGTTAGTTTATGGGGGTAAGAAGGTTACCAGAAAAGATCTTGATAATTCAGATGAAAGCATGAGTGATGAATAGATTGGTGAAGATGAAGATGAGGAAATAGACTCTGAGTTATATGGGGGTGAAGATGGAGAAGAGTCAAATGATATTGATGAAGGATCAGAAGGGGAAAGTAGTAATGAAATTATGGATGATTCCAATGATGAAGAAGACCAAATTGGCTTAGACGAGGAAGAAGATGATGACTTGGATGTAGCAAAGGAGCTCGCTAAATAAACTAAGAGACTTAAGACTATGAAGACTGGTGGCAGTAATATGAATGAAGATTAAGATGAAGATCTTGATTTAGCTTTGAAATAGCTTAAATAAGAGGAAAAAGAAGAGTCTAAGTTTATCTCAAAGCGAGTATCATCAGATCTTCAAAAAGCTAAATCAGTAAAAACTCAGAAAAAGATCTATGATCAATACTTGCATTAGAGAATTCTAATGCAAAAGTTACTCTAGAACGCCAATAAACTACCATCCAAAAATGCTTTGGATTTATTTGTGCAAAGCTCTAAGACAACAGAAATGAATTTACAGGCATGTAAAAGAAATATTAAAAAACAACTTAAGGATTAGGTTAGACTTTAAAAGTAGTTGTTTATGATATCAGAAACATCTATAAAGCTTAAAACAATAGATGAACAGTCAGAAGATACAAAATGCCAGGAGATTTATAAGATCTTAGACCATAATTTCTCACAGATCCTGCCATTTGTGGAAGAGACTGTAGATAGATGGAACAGTAGGACAATGATGATTAAAAGTTTATCTGGGAATAGTTAAAAGAGTAAAGCTTTTGGCAAGACTATCCTTGAGCAAGTTAATTCAATTCTTAATGAGGAGGAATCACTGTAAAAACTCTTAGAAAAAGCCCATCTCAAAAGAGATTCTTATAAGGTACTAGGTAGAAATGCAGATGACATTACTAATGAGAGAGATGAGAATATATTCAATGACTTTGATTTTTATCAAATGCTTCTAAAGGACTTTCTGGCTTAGAATGATAACAATGAGGATGGTGAGGAGAATGGTACTGGCGGCGGAGGTGAGGATGACATCTACTTAGATGGAGCCGACCTTGGATTAACCTAGAAGTATCTTGAAAGAAAGAAAAAGTTACTTATGGGCTAGGAGAAAATAAAGAAAGAGGTAGACAGGAAGGCCTCCAAGAATCGTAAAATCCGCTATGTAGTGCATGAGAAGATAGTTAACTTTATGGCTCCACTTGATAATCTTAGTAATATGTATGAAGGCAAGGATAGTATACTCAAAAGTTTATTTGGATAATAGGAGCTAAATAATAATGGACAGAGTGCTGATGCAAATGGTAAGAAAAAGAGTTCAAAGAAATAGAAGTTAGAGGATGATGATGGAGTCAGACTATTTTGAGAGCAAAATCTCAAACCTAATTAAAAATATATTTTAAAAGTTCTATTTTTTCAATAAAAATTGCAATCTTACAATATGGGGTTTTGGGGTTTTGGGGTTTTGGGGTTTTGGGGTTTTGGGG